TCAAATACATGGGATAAAACTCAGTGTATGACTCAAACATCATCAGTAGATATTATCAATAATTATGAAAGATAGAATCTCTTAGTTTTTATAATTACCTAATATCTTTTATATTAGTTTTTATAATTTGAGTTCACAGTTCTATCAGGGCAGGCCTCATGTCCACAACTGGAAATAATTCTTGTCCTGAAAAGTCAGAAGACATTTCTTCATGTTCCCCAAACCTCAGAGAGGGTGACTAAAAAGACTCAGATAGTTTTTGTCTTTAAAGTGTCCAGCAGTCATGATGTTTCCAGACCTCCCTCTTTTTTGCTCAGACCAAATGTAACTTTTTTCCTTCAATAATTGTTAACCCAATTTTTTTTATGATTCAATATAAATACATAAAAATCTTTATTATTTGTATTTACCAAACATTTCTCTCTCTTTGTTGCTATGTTTAAAATCGTGTTTTAACAAAGGGCTTTATTGGGGCACCTTTCATTTTATTTTTATTTATTTACCAGTGACAAATGACATATGTATGGCATACATGTGATGTTTTCATAGATGTACACACTGTAGAATGATTAGATCAAGCTAATTAATGTACCTCTTACTTCACATACTTATTATACTTTAGTGATGAAAAATTTTAAATCTACTTTCTCAGCAATTTTCAAATATACTATATATTATTATTAATTATAGACACCATGCTGTACGATAGATCTCCAGAACTGATTTCTCCATCTAACTGAAACTGTATACTGTTTGGCGAGGATCTCTCTATCCCTCACACTCTCACCCCTAGTAACCACCATTATACTCTCAGTAAGCTTTTATTTTTGCATTAAATAATAGAAGATATGAAATGAAGAAATTTGACTAGTAAAGTGCAACAAATCAGACCAGGACTGGTTTGTTGTGTTGGAATTCTTAAGTCCTTCCTACAACAAACTCTCTGTTATATTAAGAGTACACATCATTCCTAGATGAGGAATTCCATTTCAATCCCCTCAGGGATGAGAAAAGCCCTGTTAGCAAAATAGGTTCCCCTACTAACTCAGCAATCCCATCCCCCATTCTGAATAGGTAACCAAGGGTCTACAACACTTAAGAAAGTCAATAACACAACAGAAACGGGGGGAAATGAACAAATGGAGCTACTGACTAATGATAAGACAGAAATCATTCAGGGGAAAAAAGTGAACTTTTAAAATCCAATTTGTATCCCCAGATATGCATCTATGAGATGAAGATTTCTTGGGTATTTTAAATACAATTGCCTAAAATTTGAAAAATTGATATAAAAGTTAAATAAAAAACTGAGTAGTTTTCAAAAAACACATAGCAATATGATAGAGATGGAAATGGAAAAATGAAAGATCAGTCCAGGAGGAAGGCACCACTAAATGTTTATCTAACAAGAATTTTAGATGAAAAAAGAGAGAGGAAATGAAGGGAAAAAACTCAAAGAAGCATTAGAAGAAAACTTCACAGAACTGACTTGGGTCTTCAGTAAAAATGGGACTTTGACAGTCAAACAAAATAAATGCATACATGATTGGAGATGTGAGTGCTTGAATTTGTATTCTCTAGACACTTCCATTTGCATTTGTTTGAAATGCAAGACATATCCTTGTGAAATTTCAAAGCACCAAGAATTAAAGAGCAAGTTTTCAAGTATATCTGAGAGAAACCAATGGTTCATCTATAATCAAATGAGAATCGTAAGATAATCATCAGTCTTGAGTGTGGCAGACTTTTTCAGACATGTAAAGACACAGAAAAATACTCTTTCCGTATCTATGAAAAAACTACTTGATGATTTATTCTAGAAAAATGAAAAGAAAAAATCTGAAGGGGAGAAAGATATGGAGTCTTGAAAAGAATAGACAAGTGAAGGGATATCTGAAGCCAACAGTGGTGCAATAGACTTCAAGAGCATCCAGGACAGCTGGGTTTGAAATCATAGGATTTGAAAGATTCTCTAAGAAATGAACAGTAATGATGAAAACAATAGAAAAGTCTTAATGATGTGAAGGCAAATTAAGAAGATAAAAAGAGAATTAATTAGAAATGCAAAGAAAAACTAGAACTGCCTTTCCTTATCTTTGAGTTCAAGTTTACTATGAGGTTCAGTAGTGAACAATCTTTCAGCAATCAGGACAATGTAAAATCTGTTGGTGTCTCCATTTTTAGAGGCCAAGTATGAAAGCTCCATGATGACTACAGAGCAAGATATTGACAGAACTTTTAATAATGATTAAAGAATGGTTTGTAAACATTATTGGCCACATAAACAGCAAGGCTGATTGCATTAGGAAGGCTGATGGTATAAGGAGAAATATAAAGTTGATTTCCTCATTTTACAAAATGAGAGTCTGAAATTGATGAAACAAGTGGAGGGTGTCATGTATTCTTTACTTTTATAAAGGTGACCAGTGAAACAATTAAACAGGTAACCGTCAAATCCAGGAGGAGCAGGGAGAGGTGGAAGCAGTGCAAGAGAGTCTCGTCCTTCTATTTCCAAACGAAGAATTGGCGGATATGTCTATATGTGTAATTAATCAAGAAACAATGATAAAACGTATTTTGTCGATGTACACAAGCAACTGCCAGGAAACAATAGAGTCAGTTAAATTATTTGGGAGGTGGGGCAGGGAAGCTTCTGTTTGTGGTTGTATGCTCATTTTCATTATTTGATTTTAAAACCATATTTATATATTAACTGAAAAATAGAAAGTGAAGAATACCAAGTCTTATTAAAGTAGCATTAGAAAGATGGCTGGAAAACATTTAACACTAAGTTAGTGAGTGGGGAAAAAAGTTATAAAACAAACACAGTATTGTGGATTTTCTAGTTCTATGGTGGGGGCATGAACGATTGCTTGTCTGAGTTTTAGATACTTTCTTCAGATTACTTGTTGCCTTTGTCTCGAGAGGATCAGATGCAGGCAGTCAAGTTAGGCCAGGCAGGTCCATTTTTCTACAGTAAGTCACCAAGTGCTCCGAATGATCCCTGGTTAGCTCTTTCTATAATTTGGAAAACATAGTTCTTCCTCTCTCTCTCTGTAGATGACCTGGAAAGCTGCCTGAAAAAATAATAAAGTGGGGCTGGGGATGTGGCTCAAGCGGTAGTGCGCTCTCCTGGCATGTGCGGGGTGCTGGGTTCGATCCTCAGCACCACATACAAATAAAATAAAGATGTGTTTCCACCGAAAAAACTAAAAAATAAATATTAAAAAATTATCTCTCTCTCTCAAAAAATAATAATAATAAATCAAAGATACTGGATGGGGGGACATTCCTCCTAAACAGAAATTCTCAAGATATTCTTGAGTATCAAGCCCTTCCTTTGCAATTCATTCTGGAATCTTCTAGGTTCTCTGCCACAGCATTCTGTCTCATAGCCATTCATGAAATAATTCATTTTGCTTTGAATTCCTTTACCAAGAGTTGAGAAACCAAAATATTAGAAAGAAATTAAAGTGTTTAAGGTATCATACCATTTTTCTTAATTTAGGTAATTCAATAAGCAACATGCACAAACACCCCTTTTCCCAACACCTTATTTCTTTAACAGACTTATTCATAAATTGTTCATACCCGTTTGATTAAAAAAATTGTTGTAAAAAGTGAAGTGCATTTGTACAGCAAAATTCTAGGCATGTTTTGAGAAATATGATTTTAAAAAGCCTGACATGAATCCTCTAAATACCCTACCCTCATGTATAAGCAGGAGAGTCCTTTGCAAACCAAAATTCACTCTGAAACCAAATCTGAAGAACAGATCAAAGAAGCTGCTTTGACTAAAGAAATAAGAGGCCCAGAACTGCTTATAACACATGGCCATTATTTACACACATACACACACACATCCCACCTGTATGTATACATACACAAAATCAATATATATGTATGTTTATATGTATGCATTTATTTATTTAAAATCAGCTTTTCTTTTAGTTGTAGTAATACCTTTATTTTATTTGTTTATTTTTATGTGGTGCTGGGCATTGATCCCAGTGCCTTACACATGCTAGGCAAGTGCTCTATCACTGATCTACAACCCCAGCCCCTGTATGCATTTATATACATATATACATACATTCATATATATGTATCCCCACTTTTAACATTCACAGCCAAACACAAAATATCCCCCAACCATGTACACCCACCCCCACACACAGCTTGTCCCATATCACATCACACACACTTATTGTACTTTCCAACTACCCCACACTCTGTCTCTCCTCACTATACATCTCCACAATCATAAACAAACAAAATATCCCCCAACCACACACACACTATACCATCCATACCCCATACATTACTCATTAATATGTCATAATATCACTTAGACACCCCCTTATTCACATGACATATCCACAACTTATCTCACACACAGACATTCCTTCACATATTACATATCATCCATGCTAAACCCCCACCCCCATACTTTACACACACATACACAGACATCACACACTAAACTGCATATGCATCACACCACACATCACACCTTCACACAGCCCACACATATGTGGCATACAATAATTAAACCACACCACAAACACTAAAAATGCTACACAGAAAGACCACATACACAACTCACACACATAGTTCTCTAGGCCTCCAGGGTTTCATGGAACATAATTGAAAAATCAATGCCATGGTTGGAAGTATTGTATTTAATTTTAATGAGCTATTCTCTCTCTTCCTTTTTTCCTTTTTAAAAGGGTAAAGACCCACTTTGACCAACAATGATAAAAGATTTTTTGGTTAGTTTCCTCAAAGAAGATCAGTTTGAATTTGAAATTAGTGCTCATAGCTCTTAATTCATTTTTGTTCTTTGAAGTTAAATAGCATCTAATAATCTTAGTGATCACCCATCAGATCATTAGAAACCCCAGATTATTTCCTGAGATCCATGTCACAAAGGGGAACGTACTAATATCATCTTTACAAAGTCACAATAAATGATAAGGATTGAAAACACTTAGTTTCACCGGCCAGTGGGGCCCAAAGACAAAGATCTGACTTCGTGCTATGTCAACACGGTTCCAAGCCAGTGCCAAGCTCAGCTGATCTGGAGCCGATGCATTGGTTCCTGGAAAGGCAAGAAGTAAGAGTGATTTTTCACTCCATGACTGGGATCACCTGGGTTAGGCAGGTGCTGGGCAGTGAGCAGATGTGCCCTTTGGAACTAATTGCGGCCTTTGCTTTCACTCCTGATTACTACTAAGGCCCAGGCTAAGCACTCCACATTCTCCAAGAGCTTCCTGAGAAGAAGGTGGAGCCAATTTCTTCCCAAGTCAGCTCTGTATCATCTCCATGGAGGAACAGAGGAAGAATCTAGTAACTCAAGAGAACATCTGCAAAAGGGCAGGGACTTTGGGATTGCCCAGATATCTGCCAGGCCAGGCCAAGGGGCAACACCCCTCTCAAGAGTACCAGCCCTTTGGCCCACATGAAGACCAGTGTGGCACTGCCAGGCAGCCAGCCCACAGTGACCCCCTGCTCATGGCCCCAGTCTAGCTGAGAGGCAGGAAGGAAGTATGCATCCCAGAGCAGAAGCTGTCTCACAAGTGCCTGTTCCAAGCCTGTCATTATAGGCGGGATAGGGAAATTGAACAGAGCCCTGCAGAATGCAGTAATGCAAAGAAACCCCAGTTCATGTTTACACTGTGAATAGAAGCCCTCAATGGAGCAGTTACGAATGGAAATGGTTTTGACTTCATCCCACCATGGTCCATGGGCACCTACAGACCCCTGCTCTTCAGAAACCCATTTGGAGTCTTATTCTAGTGTGGTTTTGTGCTGAGATTACTCCAGTCAGCATGGCTGGCTCAGCGTTCTGAAACCAACAGACACAATCCCCAGTTAGAGAAGAGAGAGATGGCCCCAGGGCAGCCTGGCATTGAAAGGACAGGAATCACCATTTCCTGAGAGCTCACCTTTGAGCAGTGCAGTTAAAATTGCCATCTCCACGTCCTGCTGACCCTCAGAACCCATTCTAAACACAGTGACCTGCAAATAAGTGCATTGTGAAGAAAGTTAAAGTGAGAGAGAGAGTTGAAAACAAGAGTCAGGGTAGAGGTGCTTTAAAAAAAAAAAAAAAAAAAAACAACCACAGAGACTGATGTGTGATGAGATGATTCAGAGAACTGAACAATTCCAAATCAAGTCTTTTTGATTTCCAGGAGTTACAACTTCGCTCTTACTGACTGTGAATGCTTGCCTGGATTTATGTGATCTGCTCCAGCCCTTGAGAAGGGGAAGCCCATTCAGGGTTTACACTCCAATATCCAAATAGCCACCTGAGATGATAAAAGAATATCTAATCTAATAGGACATATTTATAGGAAATTTTTAAATTAAAAAATTTAAAGATGCCTTATTTGCACAAGGAGTTCTCATTTCCTATGAACACAGGAAGTAAGAAGTGGGAAACAATTATGACATTTGGAAAGTGAAATGATTTCAACTTTGTAAGCACATCTAAGGGTGTTATATGCTGCTCTCCCCCAAGTCTTTAAATCTGATTCATATTTTGAAACACTAAGCTGTGTGATGTCACCTCATATTTGCTAACGTCTGAAAGCACCTGGGACTTGCCGCTGTGCGAGCTTGTTTTGCTTCCATCACTTGGACACAACCATCAATTTAGTGTGGATTTGTAAACTGCCTCTTGGAAGAGGCTGAACTAAAATATGAACAACTCCATCAAGCACACATGGGCAGAATTAGAAAAGGAAACATAATTCTCTCTGTGGAGATTGTTTGGAAATAAATTCAAGACACTTACGAGTTCTTTCTTCTTCATGCACTCCATTATAATTGCAAACAGCTGATGTGATTGTGTCTTACTGTAATTAAATGTTTTCTGAATGGTAACTAGAAGCTGATCCCTGAGGGACTCATTTATTATCCTGTTCAAAGGAAATGCAAAAGAGAACAAAACAAAGCAAGTTCAACTCATTTTTTAATCAATCAGACATCTCTATATTCATCTGGTAATTTTTATTTGAAACTATTGGAGGAGGGTATCTCTGCATAGAAGACAAAAAAAAAAAAAAGTCACCGTGGTCAAAAAATGCATTCACACTTGTCTCAAATTCCAGCCTTGTTGTAAACCTTATAAGGAAAATGAAGTTGGAAAGGAGAGTATTCTTCCAGAGAGAGAATTCTGTCAGAAACAAGATGCTCCTGACAGGAATGGGAGAGGAGATCTAGCAAATCTTCCTCGGTTAAGCATTTTTGGAATGTCTAAGCAGATCACTTCAGATGTTCTCTTTGGCCTAACAAGGCATTAAGAACCCACCCTTCAACACACATCAGAAATCCTACCCTCCTTCTTCACAGTACTTGTGTGCAAAGGACAAAATATCCGAGGCTCGTCCACTGCCATCACAGACCACCACGGGGACTGGAGGGTCTTCTCGGAGGTATTCCAAGACAATGGAAACCACGTTAGGGCCCCCTTCCACCACGAGGCCCACGACCGGCACACCCTGCCCCAGTCCTGCAACACAAACCACATTCACTGTTCGGACCAACGTTTAGCACCTTTTACAGTCTCATTTTAATTCCTGAAACATGGTGAAGAGTACAAACTTTGCAACTTGACAGATGCTCCAGGTGGTATTAGTATTTACCCTGAGATGGAAAGGAATTCAGGAATATCGTGATTGTTTTCATTTTTGCATTCAAACCTTGTATTATGGTCTCACTGGAAAACCCAGAAACTCAAAAATCCTAAACTTTCTGACTCCCCTGTGGTTGAACTCCATGTATAACTCACCTGGCATACAGGTGAGCCCTGAGAAGCACTGGACTATACTCTGCCCTCTCTGTCCTGCCCTAGGGGTCTGAAATTCCCACCTGACTGGCTTTCCCTTAAAGAATGAAGCAGTGAAAGGAGGGTCTAGGCCAGAAACAGGAGAGCTCACTTCAGTCCCTGGTCTTTCCCAAATTAGTCTTAAGTAAAAAATAAAAAGTTGGGGATATAGCTCAGTGGTTAAACACCCCTGGGTTCAATCCCCAGTACAAACCAAAACAAAAACACCCTTGGGCCAATTACCAAATCACCATGAGACTTAGATGACCATTTGTAAAAGGTGAATAATTACTAAGACCCCCTTCTCTCTTGAAGGAGCAAGAGATCCAAAATGGAAGAAAATCTTTGGCTATCAAAGTATATTGCAAACTTTAAGTGGCATGTAAATATGGTATGTTGCTGTTATTGTTTCTGCCTTCAGTGCCTACAATATGGCAGTACAGGCTGAGCAACCCTAATCTGAAAATCTGAAAGCCCATATGGAGAATGTTTCAACTTTCAGATTTTGGAATTTTGGATGAGGTATGCTCACCTAGTACAGTCTCTGCAAGTATTCCCAAATCTGAAAACTCTGAAATCTGAAACAATTCAGGTCCAGAGAATTTCAGATTAGGGATAATCAACCCATAAATGATCTTAGAAACAAACACACTGACTACTATTAGCTCATTGATTAAAGGATTATTCCCTGAGTATTCCCTCTCCCATAAAAAAAAAAAAAAACCTATTATCTGATAATAGGACTCTCTAAGAACACAATAGTTGCATGCTAATAACTTGTAAAACCAGCAGAATGGGCTCTAGGAAGCAGGAAGTGACAGGGAATTCTAGGAAGCTGGAATTCTGAGTGAGTGGATAGTAAGAGTGACAAATATGCCTTCTCCACAATGTTCAAAGAACTGACCAGGACTAATTATAGAGTTGTCCCTCAGTGGTTCCAGGACTTGCCCCTTGTGAATACCAAAATCTGAGGCTACTCAAGTCCCTTTATATAAGATGTTATACTATCGTATCAAAATTACACAATTCTCCCATACACTTTAAATCATTGTTAGTTGACTTATAATACCTAATACAATGCAAATACTATGTAAATAATTATTATCCTGTATTGGTTAGGGAATAATGATAAGGGAAAAAAAGGCTGTACATGTGCAGTAAAGATGCAGTTTTTACTCCTGAATATTTCCCATCTGTAGTTGTTCAAATCCCTGGAGGCAGGGCCCAGGGATATGCAGGGCTGGCTGTACTCTGAGACTGTTTCACCAGATGTCTGTTAATGATGTGAATTAATTGATTAACGTTAGCAAACAACAAGTAAGAAAAGTATCCTTGATGCCACAGTTCTCAAGAGCTTCACATAAAATCTTCTAGCAAAGGTTATGAGAAGATTTGAGAGTTTCAAGTAGGTGAAGTCAGAGTTTGTGGTTTGCTTTCACAGTGCATTTCTATGTTAGGATGCTTAAATAGTTTGAGATATTTTTCTGTCTTGTACAGGAATAATTACAGTTAGGTTCATTTCAGCAAATAAGCAATGAAAGTCTGTTTTATACCAAGTCCTAAATAAGAGATACTGGAAAATGGATTGAGATGGCATGAACTCTGCCCTTGAGATTTCCAACCCAAGTTAGGAAATATGGTGGCCAAATCACCTTCTTTTCTAGAAAAATAATGGAACTGGTTCTTCTTGGCTTAGGCTGGAATTCCTGAAGCTGCATGCTGTGGGAGGTGACGACTGAGCACCCCTTTGCTGTCCCTGCCCCACTCAAAGCCCTAGGCAAAGGATGACAAAGGGAAGCCCACAAGTCACATGACCAAGTGAAGTTGGCCAACACGAAAACTTTCAGGTCCAGAAAAATTAAAAATGTTAAGAACAAAAACCAATTCAACCAATTTATCCATCAAGATCTGTTGCTCAGAAACCTACAAGTTTTTGTAGTAGGTCATCCCCATTCTAACTACTTGAGCAGTATCACAATCCTTTAAATTATGCTCTACAAAGATCATTTAACAGGCCTAGATTGCCTTGCACAAAAACCTCACCAGTTATGGTAAAAACAGAATATTCTTCAGGATCCTTTAGCAATTGTTTGACAGTAAGGATTGTTGGAAAAGGGGCATGTCCAAAAAGAGTACACCAGTTATTTTAATTCTAACCAGTTCTTATTGTTTCTTCTGGTTGGATTCATTTCTTTTATCTCTAGTTTGAGCTCCAATGTCTCCCAGCAGTGGCTATTCCCCCTAGGGATGTGCACCTGAACAGCAAGGATGATGAAGCAAATAGCCCCCTGCAGCCCTCTCTATAGGTCTTCCCTTCTGGTCATCTTAGTCTGGGTCAGATACTCAGAGTTATAGAGATATTTAATAATGTTTAACACTTACTATTTGATGTAAGAAATCATACTAAATCTTTGAGTGAGAATTGCTTTTTTTCCTGTTAAAATGTTTAAAAAATAATGACAGTAATTACAGGGAAAAAGAACCACAGGGCAAAATGATGAGTGCTGCCATCACCATGACAACAACAGCAAGGTTGTTTCTTGCACCAACATGTGAACTTGGAGCAAAACATCACATGGAGCTCAGTGAATTCATGTTGGCAGGTGGCTAAGACATAAGGTCTAAATAAGTCATTTTCTATTGATCTAGCAAGAATCAAGGTTAAAGCTTTCAATAGCCTTGGGCAATTTCCTTCTCAGCTTGGTTTTCATGATCGTGGTGTCAGTCCAATGGTGGTACTGTGGTCTTGGCTAGAACTTACTTGTGTTAATCTTCTGCAGAGAGATGTGCTTTTCCAGCTGCCTCCGCAGCTTCACCTCAGCACCATATTTGCCCAGGGTGCCATTATCAGCCAGGATGAAGTGAGTGTGAGAGTTGTTGAGCACAGAGAGCTTACTCAGAGGGTTGGACATGGTCTGGTACACTCTTGTTACCTGACAAAATGCACAATATGAATCAGAGCTGCAGAACTTTAATATTAAGACTAATGGGGAAGCAAATGGAATACACGTGCTTGTAATGACTACACTTAAACCCATTCTCACTTCTCTATCCTACTTATTCAAGTTTTTTTTTCCAATTGCTCTATTAAGACAGCAAAAACATAATTATTTTTAGATAATGGCAATCCAACAATTGTATACCTAGCTATTTATTACAGAAAAATGAAAATTCATATTAACACAAAATCCTGAACACAAATGTATTTGGAAACTTTATTCATAATTGATCCACTGCAATGACCCAGATGACCTTCAACAGATAAATAGGCAAACCATCTGTGATAAGTCCATACCTTTGACTAGCACTCAGCAATAACAAGGAAAGAACTATTTTTTAAAGATATTTTTAGTTGTAGATGGACATGATACCTTTATTTATTTATATGTGGTGCTGAGGATTGAACCCAGTGCCTCACACATGCCAGGCAAGCGCTCTACCACTGAGCCACACCCAGCCCAGGAAGGAACTATTGATACATATGACAATCTGGAGGAATGTTATGCAGAGTGGAAAAAAAAAACCAAACATTTTCCAAAGGTTTTATACTGTATGATCCCATTTATGTAATATTCTTGAACTGATAAAATTACAGAGATGTGTGGTACATTAGTGGTTGCCAGGAGATAAGGAAGAAATGGAGGTGGGAAGGAATTAGATATAGATATTAAAGGGCAACAGAAGGGATCCTTGTGTTGATGGAAATGTTCTGTACCTTGAGTGTATGTCGCTGTCCTGACTGTGATGTTGTACTATTGCTTTGCAAGATGCAAAACCTGGAGGAATGGGCAAAGGGTGGATGGGAGCTTTCTTTTTTGTTTCCTACAACTGCATGTGAATCTATAATTATTGAAAAATACAGACTTCAGTTTTTAAAAATTATCAATGTCTTCAGAGAACACACTTACATCCTTTCCAACCAGGTCTTCCTTATTCTCCACCATGCCCCATGGAGCAATTCCTATAGCACAGACCCGGCCTCTGGACTTGGAGGAATGATCTTTCAAGGCATCCCCCACATGGTTGATGACACCTGTGAGCAGCCATGAGTCACATTTTAGTCACTTCTACTTCCCCTCACATCACACCACCAGTCATGAACTTCAGAGACAACTTCTATGAACCCCTACATTCCCTATGGAACAGGGATGAATGAGACATAGTTCTCTTTATCAGAGCTTATACTAACTGCTAGTCCTGCTTTCTCTCCTTGAAAAGGGAAAACAAAAACAAACCAAAGCAACTGGTCAGGGACTTACTGTACATGTTTCTAAAACCTAAAGATGAATGTCATTGGGGTCTTTTTTCACAGTCCTTGACTGTATTCAGCTAAAGGTGAAAACCAGACCACCTGGCATGTTCCTTAACCTTTCTATGCCTCAGTTTACTGTACCGTGAACTGGAGAAAGGGTTTTTAACAGTCTAATTGAAGATGATGCTCACCCAGGGCTCAGTTCAAGGAAATGTGCATAGTGGTTGACCCAGAGATATTACTATTGTTACTATTATTATTGTGTGGTTTGGATCTTGGATGTCCCCCAAAGACCCATGTGTTGAAGGCTTGGCCCTTGACTTGGTGCTGTTGGAAAGTGGTGGGAACTTTAAGAGGTGAGGCCTAGTGTACAATCTTTAGGCCACTGGGGATGTGCCCTTAAGGGGGATTGCAGGACTCCAGTCTATTCTTCTTCTCTTTTTTGTTGCTGGTCTTGATGTATTCCCACCATGAATTGAATCTATACACTACCACGGGACCAAAACAATGGAGCCAACTAACTGTGGACTAAAACATCTAAAACTGTAAACCAGAATAGACTTTTTCTCTTTTTTAGTTGATTGTTTCAGGCATTTGTTGTAGTGACAGAAAGCTAACAGAATTATGACATTTGCTGTTTAAACAAAATGCATCATACCAAATTTTTTTTTTAAATCTATGGAATAAAGACTTCACTTTTGTCACAATTAACATCAAGATGCAACATATTTTGTCTTCTGACCATTATTACTAGGAAGCTTTTGGGGGTCCACAGTGAGTTCTGGGTATGTACATTTACAGTGAAGGAAGGGCCTGCTCTTACCAGTGCTGACGCCCCCTGTGAAGATCCAGGCCCCTGTGGTCACGGCGGCCTTGATCAGACCTTTCCCAAACACCTGCTTCAGCTTGGGCTGCATCTCAAAGTTCTGGAGACCACCATGCACAGATATTAAGAGCTTGGGGAGTTCCAGCTGCCAATCTTTCACCATGAGATGAAGCAGGGAATCTGGCTTGGTGTCATAGGATACACGGATATACTGTAAAAGAGTGTGTGATGCTCAGCACCTGTTCTTGGTTTTGCTTCTCTTGTCAGAGGGGTTGCGGGGTTTTTGCTCATGTCCAGGTAGGAGTTGTCTCTCTTGTCTATCTCTCTCTGTGTCCCAGGGACCCCTGTGTGGGTCTGTAGCTGAGTGACTAAAGGCAACTTTGGGAGGAGTTGTCAGGTTTAATGAATAAAAATACAGGATACTCAATACGGTGGTCCAAATGTTTGTCTTTCCCCAACACGCATATGTTGAAACTTTATCCCCAATGCAAATATTAATAGATTAACTTACAGGAGTGACTAACTCACCTCCTAAAAGCTAAAGAATAATGCCCTGAGGTCCAAGGGAGTTTGTTTACTCCTTCTTTCTTGTGAGTTTCTATGAAGCAGAGAGTGAGACTTTACTAGACACTAAATATGCTGGCACCTTCATCTTGGACTTCTTAGCTTCTAGAACTGTGAGCAATAAATTTCTGTTGTTTATAAATTACCCAGTCTAAAATATTTAGTTATAGCAACTGAACAGACTAATTCACTCAGTTAAATTTGAATTTTAGATGAATAATGAAAAATACTTTAATATTTCTACTAAATGCAATACAGCATGCAATATTTAGGACATACTTGTATTAAAAAAATAATCTGTTGCTTTTCTGAAATGTAAACTGAGTATCCTGTATTTTATCTGGCAACAGTAACCTTGGAAGAATTAATTCCAAAGCTATCTTAGCTAGAACAATGATTCAAGAAGTTGGACAAGGATATTATTGAGTGAGTGGGAAAGGAGATTGTGGTCCCACATCTGAATATGACCACCTCTTCAAGGTGAAGGAGTTAATGATCAGAGACCTTAGTCTTTATAAGCTGCTTCTTCATGTCTTGCTAATATGTAGAGTGTCCCTATTCCAGAAGACCCTGTATTGTGGTATTTGGAATACATCTGAATTTTATTTTAGTGATGATTTCAGACTAGTGAAATAAAATGAAATTTCAAAAATGGTCTGACTGGGCACATGGAGTATTATTCCAAATTGACTGAAAGGTAACACACGCCTGGAATCTTTGAGATACTGCATGTTCTATACAATGATGTCCAGTTTCCAAGTCTCATTGCTAAAAATCCATGGACACAGATATATTCCTTGGCTTTGCAGTGAAATATCTAGGAGGAACTGAACCACACAACCCATGAAGGTATCTGTAGCTGGGAGTTGGGGGACAGGCCTCTGATGAAAGCTGTGGTTCCCATGGCATCATGTCCGAATGCCCTCCCTTACCATGGCTTTATTGAAGTATCCGCCACCCTGAAATTCAAGAATCCCATAGGAATCTGTTGGGTAGCTCTGGGTGTGTTTACTGACAGACCATTTTTCTGGCTGAGTCTCTGCCTGTTTGTTCTCCTCTTCATTTTTGCTGGGTGTTGCACTAGGCAAAGGGGGGATATGCTGGTTGATTAGTTGACCACAGCAACACCTGAAAAAAAAAAAAAAGCAAAGAAAGGTCTTTTACTTTTTGTCATTTCTGGGTTTTTTTGTACCGGTGATTGAACCCCGGGGCACTCTATTACTGAATTCATTTTTATTTTTTATTTTGAGACAGGTCTTGCTCAGTGGCCCAGGGCTGGTCTCCAACTTGTTATCCTCCCAAGTCACTGGGATTACAGGAATGATCCTGCTGGGTAAAGCAGAGTCTTTCAAAAACATTTTTCTCCTTTCCCTTCTATTAGCAAAAGTAAATTAACCTGAATAGGTGAGTTGGGCCCAATCAGAGGTACTTATCCAGATAGATAATCCATGCTTATCTATTCATATACTATTCTATTTATATTGGATGACTACCCTTCCTTGCTGGACATATTTTAAATATTTTTGATGTCTTGATGACATTCATATGAGCTTAACATTCTGGACATTACTGAATATTCTGTGATATAATGCAATCATGCCCTCTGAACATAGGAACTTAGTAAAAGTTCTGACCTTCCAGAACTTAGTAAAACATTTCTCTACCCGGTAATATTGGAAGTATTCCAATAAGCACCAGTATGTCTTTTCCTGCCCTGTGCAGCTGTCCCATTGGGCAATAACCTCCTGGCTTCAGGGATCTCATTCTATAGCATCTCTCCATGACTCAGCCAGCCTTGTGTGCTCTCATGGTGTTCTCTCTTCCAGCTTTCTCCGTGCAGGATCCTTATTCTTGTGTAGCTTCCTTTCCTAGCAGCCTAGCTTAGGGTTTCCTTTGTCACTCAGTCACTTGCAGCTGCCACGTATTTATGTGAACTAGATCCACCAAAACTTGAAATGTCTGCTTGGAAGAACAGCAGAATTCCAAGCAGTAGCCTGGAGTGATGTCTTGCTGCAGATGGGACCCAGGGGTAAGTGACATGGGAAAGAAGGGAGGGGAGGTCTGCTTCTGGGATGAGGAACTTCCTGAGGGCAGTCATGCACACCAGCAAGTGGGTGGGGGAGCCAGGGACTGGGAGATCTGGGGAAACGTGGGCTTGGGACAAGAGAGGATGTCTTTATTGGACGATATGTGTGAGCATGTGCATGTACTCTCTGTACTCATGCTGGCAGCCTTGGAATTTTCTTCCTGTCCTTCTCGATAATTCATTAGTGGCATGAGCCACCATTCCAGGTTTCCTTAGAGAAATGTCTATTCTTTCTATTCCTCCCTTTCTCCTTCCCTCCCTGTCTCTCTTTCCTCCTTTCCTTCACCTTTCTCCTTTCTTCCCTTTCTCCCTCCCCTTCACCTTTCCTCCTTTCCTCCCCACTCCTTCCCAACCTTCCCTTCTTTTTAAACTGTGTGTGTGTGCATGGGGGGGGGGGGGGAGGGGGACGGGGGATTGAACCCAGGGGCACTCTACCACTGAGGCACAGCCCTATCTCTTATTTTTTGAAACAGGGCCTCATTAAGTTGCCCAGGTTAACCTTGAATTTGCAATCATCCTGTGTCAGCCTCCCGAATTGCAAGGATTACAGGCATGTATCACCACTCCCAGCAAAATAAAGCTTTATTGATGTATAATTCATATACCACACAATTTGCTCACTTAAAGTGTATGATTTAATGGATTTTAGTATTAACAGATATATGCAATCACCACCACAGTCAATTTTAGAACATTTTCAGCACCTCCGAAATTATACAATTTGAAAATCACCATTCCACTTGAACATCTACCTTCTATCCCCAACTACATGTGAACTTCCCTCCCACAGACAACATTAACCACAAATCTACTTTCGGTCTTTTTACATTACATACATCTATCTCTGCAGATTTCTACATATTTCATATAAGTAGAGTCATATAAGATGAAGTTTTTGTGGAGAGAGGTCTTCTTTCATTTAGCATGCTTTCAAGATTCATCCGTGTTGAAGCACATGTCAGTACTATTCCCTTTTGTGATTGAATAATATTCCAATATATAGATGGATAAACTTTTTATTGTACTTTGAGGGACATTTGAGTTGTTCTAACTTTTTGGCTACCATGAATAATGCTGCTATGAACATTTATATACAGGTTTTTGTGGGAACACATACTTTTTCTTCTACTGGGAGTGGAAATACTGGATCATATGGTTACATTATGTTTAATCATTTGAAGAGCCACCACACAGGTTAAAAGGACTGCACCACTGTGCATCTTCACTAGCAGTGTATGAGGCTTCTGATTTCTGCATACCCTCTCCGGCACTGTTGATTATTTGACATTTTTATTCTAGCCATCTTACCAGGTGTGCAGTAGGAGTTCATTGTTGTTTTGATTTGCATTTCCCTCATGAATAATGATGTTAAGCATCTCATATGTTTTTGGGTTATCTGAATATCTTTCCTAGAGAAATGTCTATTCAGAGTCTTTGCCATTCAACTTGAACGTTCCACTTGAACATTTTCAAGTTCCACTTAAAAAACTTGGACTATTTACCTATTTTATCACTGAATTGTAAAAATTCTTTGTATGTCCTGGATATAAATCCCTTATGTAAGTGTGCACGCACATGTGATATATATATATATTCATATATATTTGAAATATTCATATATATATATATCAAAGTCATATATATTTGATATAATCATATATATATATCAAAATTTATATTATATATACATATGTGTAT